TTTTGAATGTGAACCAATTGCGTTTGTACGCTGCCCGTATTCGAAGAGCTAGCACCGCCCGCTGATGAAGTTTTCTGTGTAACCTGTGCACCCTGCTGCTGTTGGGGATTGTTCGACTGTGTTATGTTAGTATTTTGCTGTTGTTGTTGCTGCTGCTGTTGTTGATTAGCAGCCTGGGCTGCTTGTATTTGTGTCATTCGCGAAATCTTGCGTGGCATAGCAAGCTGTTGTTGTTGCATGTGCAATTGACGCATTTGTGATTGATTTGCCATGGTCACTTTGATTTGCCCGCCCGGTTTGAGTTGGGAGAGGGCCATGTTGACGGTGTTTTGTGTTTGCTGTTGACCGGTGTTGACAGTAATGCCTTGATTACCACTTCCAGCTACAGAGGTGGCCACTGAGGTCTTAACTAGGGTAGCAATTTGTTGAGGAGTTACTTGTTGCACCACTTGCTGGGTATTACCCTGCTGCTGCACAGATGTTGAGGTTTGTGCTGATGATACCGAGCTCTGTTGCAATTGTATGCCTTGAGCCGTGGTTGTGGTGAATATCTGTCCTCCCTGTTGCAAAACCTGGGCTGCTTTTTGCTGAGTGGCAGCTGATATCATTTGTCGTTTGACCAGCAACATATCACTTTCTCCCACTTGCCGGGTTATGGTATGTTTGCCTGTAGCCGCGGCTACTTGTTTTATAAATTGAGCTCTGGTCTGTTGGGCCTGTTGTTGATGGACTTGTGAAGCTGCTACTGTGGTTACCACTCCAGTGGCACTAGGCGTGGTAACGGCTACATTTGATGTTGCTACCGCCACCTTTTGTCCCTGTACAACTTGTACGGTGGTGGGTCCAGAACCTGTTTGCATAAGACTTCCCTGTATTATGGTGCCTTGTGCATTGACAAGAGCTGTCTGCCCAGAGGCTGTTTGCACCACTGTCTGTTGACCTTGCTGGCCAGGGGCTCCAGCTTGTAAAACTTTAAGCTGTTGACGCTGTCTATAGAGTTGTATGTGGGTGTGAGGTTGGCCCTGTTGGTTATTGCCCGCCTGAGCAGCAGCTGCAATTTTCTGACCTTGTTGCAGGGAGCTAACTCGTATTCCCTTAGTAACCACCTGCTGTGTTCCACTAGGCATAGAAGCCAATTGGAATTGTGTGGCTTGCAGTTGTGCTGGTGCCACATTAGTGCCCAAACTAGACATAGAGACAATGGTAGGGCTGGGATTGCCAGCAGATCTTTGTTGCAAGACCACATCCTGTAGAGTTGTGCCACTGGAGGCGGCTACTATACGTTGTGCTCTTAAAGCTGATGTGTTGAGAGTGGTTACTGTAGCAGTAGGCTGCTGCATACCACTGGATGTAGTTAACACCGTGCCCACGGTGGCAAGTTGTGATACAGACACCACTTGTGGTAGGGATTGAGTCTGCACTATGCTGCCCACCTGAGGTGAGCTCGACACTATAGTTTGTTGTGGTGAGAGTGATACAATTTGGGCGGTAGACGATGAAACTTGATTGCCATGATGTTGCTGCTGATTTGTTACTGTCGAGGAGATGGTTTGTACAGGAGTGGTTAGCACAACGGAAACTGAAGCTGGTGTGGCCACTAAATTACCGCCTGATGTCTGCTGCTGCAATTGCACATGTTGTGTTTGTCCCGAATTTGTTTGTGAATTATTTGTTTGTTGCTGTAATTGTTGCATTTGACTGGTGGTGAGTAGACCAGATTGGGGAGCCACAATAGCTTTAACAATCTGTGTGGTGGTGGGAGTGCCATGTTGTCTTAGCAAATGCTGTTGATTAGTTTGGTTCACACCACCACTAACAACAGTCTGTTGTTGCTGCAACTGTTGGCCGGAATTGCCGGCATGCTGGAGCACAATAGCAGTAGCTGTCTGCTGTTGAGACTGCTGTTGTCCTACTCCACCTGACGAAGATAATTGATGGATCTGTAACTGTTGAGTATGCAGACCAGGAGGAGCTGTTGCCACCTGCACTTGCTGGGAATGTTGCTGCTGCTGTTGTTGTTGTTGTTGCTGCTGCACCAATTCTTGCAAGTGTGATGTTGTTTGATTACTTTGTTGTTGCACTATGTTGACCGTATTTGCAGTGGTGACGCCACATGTTTGTGGCTGCTGCTGCTGTTGCCCAGCTTGACATACTTGTGGAGCCTGTGTGGCAGCTGGTGGAGGTGGTGGTGGACATTGTGATCTTTGTTTTTCACGCAATTTATTCGCTCTCATGATGGCTATATTTTGTGGTGATATAGGCTGATCATAATTAACTATACCGAATTCCTGCAAAACCTCCATATGTTTGGGATTCATGGAGCTGGGTGTGTTGAAGTGTCTCTTCGGTGGTGGAGCCTTTTTCAAATAAGCCGTCTTAATACAATCGAAACGAGAACGCATAATCTTAGTGAACGTGGCATTATTATCGTTCGCATAGTTTTGTGTAGTTCTTAGACATCTCAAGGGACTCTTAAGATACTCCGTTTTTAATGTAGTCTTTAGCTTTTTCTGTTTCTTGGGACTTTCCACCAGTTTACCTTCTTCACGCGGCTGTATGGTAGTTTCATAACGCCATCTACACTGTTTCGCCGATCTAAACGTCTTCGAGTAGGTATTTACAATTTCAGCCACCAAATCCCAATTGGGTGTGTGGCCGGGAGAGAGCAACATTAAATTACAGGGTAATCCCTGTAAATTAACCAAAACATGCAGTATGGCTATATCTTCATATATACACCATTCGGCCATTCCTTCGGGTTCCGTTAAAGGTTTTTGCGGCATTTGTGGTTTTAAGCCGGGTATTTGTACATTTGGCTTGAATTGTCCGCGATAACGTTGATTCTTCAAGTCTCTTCTTATTTTCGCTATAGCCGGCGATGGTCTATCGAAGAGTGATCTTGGCGCACAGAACATTTCTTCACGACGTATTTTTGCCGGTCGCTTATTGCCATCGATCATGAATCCGGCCTCCGAACGAGAACGTTTGTATTCTTTCTTAACGTATACCGGCGGCAATTCGGACTCTGGTATCGGCTCTACATCGTACATAAAACTGAGCGAATAATCGATGTAGATGTCATCGTTATCTTGCGGCGGTGTAGGTGGACACCACATCTAAAGGAGGAGGAAGGGAATTAAGAAATTATTATTAATAAGGCGGAAGTTTTCTTAAATAAATTTGAAACTAGAACTGTACAATGTCGACTCAGATTGAAATGCAGAATATGGATGAATGATCAAAATGATCGAATTAATAACTATAAACTGAATCTTCCCTCAAAAAGACTTTTCCAAACCTGATGAAAAGATAAATTATTTTCGCAATTTTGATTCTTTTGGAAAAGAAAAACCAACAAAGATGTTAAAATTTGTTCTAAATTAACTAGTTTTTGAATGGTTGCAAGAACTTCAGATTCTTGAACAGCAACCTTGAAACCAGTAACGTCTTTGTCACTTCTGATACCCGTTCTGTGGAACATTGTTTTGAATAATTGATTAAGGAGCCGGTTTCAGAATCGTTCAATAGAACAAGTGTTGACTCAGTTCCGCAGGTGATAATAACAAACAAATGATCGGGGCTACAGCTAAGGTAGAGTTTCTTTATATGGATGCAATAAACTAGAATGGTGTCTACATTGCTAATACAGAAAAAAAAAGGTTCTTAAGACTACCGAACGAGTATATTGTCTTCTAAACGTAGATCTTAGCGATCTGAAAAGTAACGGAACTGATACAGGAGCATATGGAAATGTATTGTAATGTATAGAGAAATGAGGTCGAAACCGACAAACTGACAAGATTTGTTCCGAATCCCACCAAAACTACCCATTTGTCACTATTCCACAACATTATCAATCAGTTCTGGAATAGTTGAGTGGATTGCCAAGACTTGATGCAAAAGCAACCAGGAAACTTATTGAACTCAATAGATTAAGTCTTGGGGCTCTGACAGGGATTATAACGGGGAATTGTTTTATTAGTGATTTTGTCAGTATGTTGGGCAATACAAAACTACAGGTTATGCGAAAATGTTGGGGAACTAGCAATAGCATACTTATAGGAGTCAATTGATGAAGTCTTGGGGCTCTGACAGGGATTATAACGGGTCATTGTTCTATTAGTGCTTCTATCAGGTTATACGAACTAAACTTCTGCAGGTTATACGAAAATGTTGAGGAACTAGAGACAGTTGACCGCATTATCTACCACTGTCCTAGTAGTCAAGGTCTCAGGCTGATATGAATGAGAAATATGTTCTACGATGGCTTAGAGGTTATTGTTATCAGGGGAATTAGCCATTTTTTCGTTTAGACACTATAGTTAATATGATTCTGATTCTTCTTTAGAGATCTGAATTCATTTATTTTTAGGATACAGGTTAACTCCCTTGGGCCTCTTTCTACTTACAGTCCTTTCTCTTTTTCTGTTTTCTTAACTATTCTTGATTCTACACTTTCATTGAAGACCTCCATAGATCATGATGATTCATACAAAATGTATATTAGTTTTATTCGGGAAAATTTTCATAAATTTTCTTTACACGTTTTCTGTTTTCTTAATTATTTTCTATTTTTGTTTCTATACATTCATTGAAGATGATCAAAATGTACCTCCTTGGTCCAGGTGTTGCACCTCTCTGGTACATAACCCTTCTTAGCCTAACCTAATATATAGATCATGACGATTCATATAAAAATTATATGAATTAGTTTTATTTGTTGAGCGCATCATCTTCCTCTGACCTAGGGTCAAGGTCTAAGGCTGATATGAGTGGGAAATAGGTTCCACGACAACCTAGACGATATTATTTTTATCAGGGGAATTAGCTGTTTTTCGTTTAGAGACTATAGTGAGGATTATTCTGAGCAGGCTGATATGAGTGGGAAATAGGTTCCACAACAACCTAGACGATATTATTTTTATCAGGGGAATTAGATGTTTTTCGGTTAGAGACTATAGTGAGGATTATTCTGACCACCTTCTATATTATTCCTTTCGGGATCTGAATTCATTTATTTTTTGGGATCCAGATTGAATCTCTTGGGCCTCAGTCTACTCTACAGTATTTTCTCTTTTACTGTTTTCTTAATTATTCTCTATTCTTGATTCTACACTTTCATTGAAGACCTCCATAGATCATGACGATTCATAAAAAATGTATATTAGTTTTATTTGGGACCAATTTCATAAATGTTCAAACGGAATTGAAACCATTCCCATAAGCATGTCCCTCAAGCCAAATAAAATCATTAAATTATTAATAAAAATATTAAAAAATTCACTTACCGGCATTTGTTCCATGGTATTGGCCGAAATCCAGATCTATTTTTTGTAACAACAATATTAAAAACGATCACACAAGGCCACACACAACGTTTCATTTAAAAGTGGTACATAGTTGCAAATAGGACAGAGAGACAGAGGGGGGGGGGAAACAGTTATATGGAGAAAAACACATACACACAAATATAACCAGATACAGAGTGGGAAGTCGTTGATTGTGTTGTGCAAAAAAAAAAAAGAAAAGAAGAAAAAAAATATTATTTTCTATTAAAAAAACTGTTTTGGTGACTTAAAATTTAAAGGTTTTATAAAAATTTTATTTATTTGCTCTCTGTTTAGAGTAATAAAACTTTAGTTGCAGTAAAAACAATACAAAAAAAAAATAAATAAAAAATATAGAACGAAATCTAAGGCCGTTTGGAAATGGCAATAATTTTGGAAATTTTTTTTTTTAAAAAATTTACTTTTAATTTTTCTTATAAGAATTTTTAGTTAAATGATTAATTAAACTGTTTTGGTGCCCTTTATTAAGTTGAAATTAATTTTAATTAATGCCATAACCAAACATTCCTTGTGCGCAAAATATGAGAGAGAGAGAGATGTTTAAAGGAGCTGTTAGCTAATTGTGGTTTGTTGTAGATATTGTTATTTTAACACAGTTTAAATTTAGCAAAATGAAACCTTTAAAGTAAAATAAAAGAAGACACCAAAACAGATTTTTATTTATAAGTTTGTTTTTTGTTTTTAATTAATTAGAAAATAATATTTTTTTAATAAAATAACTTTTCTTTTTTTTTCCTCTAAACACAAACTATTAATATACAATTTGTTATTACTTTTTGTTTAACATTTCCAAAAATATATAATTATTTTGATTTTTTGTTTTTCGCTAAAAAAGGGCCAAAGATTCGCTGGGTTTTTTTAGTTTATTTTTTTTTTTTAATTGTCTTCACTTATTTTTAAGAGTTTTATAAAGCAATAAATAAAATTTAAATAAAACACATTTTGATTTGTTGATTTTTTTTTTAATATATTATTTTTTTGTTAAAAGCTTTTAAAGTTTTTTACTTTTATTATTTCAAATTTTATAGCTTTTGTTTTGAAGAGTCAAAAGTTACTTTTTTTTTAAGTGTATATAAATTAATAAATAATTTTTTTAGATTTGCTTTTATAATATAAAACAAAATACACAAAGTCCTTGTTAAACCTATAATTGTAGTTGTTTTTTTGTTTTGTTTTTTGTTTCTGGTTTTTCTAGATATTTTTTTTTAGTAAGTAAAACTAAAAAAGACTTAAATTTAAAAAAAAAAAAAAAAAAAAAACTTAAATTAAAATTAAAAAAAAGAGAACATAACTATTATATAATTAATGATTAAACCTTTAACAAAAAAAGGAATTTTTTTCTTCTATTTTAGTTTTAAATATATTAAACTTTAATGAACAAGTAGTTTAATTTAAAGTATTAATTTGTTTTTTTTTAATTAATTTTCCATAATAAACAAAATAATATTTAACAATTTGAAAAAATTTAAATGTTTTCTTTTAATAAAAAGCACAGAACTTTTAGTTATTCTGGTGTCAGGACATTTGTTTTGTTTTGTTTTTTTTCTTCTTTCTGTCGTTCTATATTTAATTGTATTTTATGTTTATTATTAATACCTATCGTGTCTAACTAACAGCTAATTATTTTTTGTTTTTTTTTTTATAGAATTCTATATATTAAGTTTTATATTTAAAATATGATTTTTATTTACAAGTTATAGTTCTTTGTTTTTTTTTTAATTTACAAATTTGTTTGATCCGTTTGTTTGCATAAGAAATCTAAAGGAGGTTTTTCTCAAATTAAATCAAAAAGCAGGAGTAAGTGAAGAAATTTTATAAAAAGAGGGCAAGCAGCATTTGTTGGTGGTATTACAAAAAAAAGGGCGTTTAAGGTGCATTTAAGAAAGTTTTCATTACAAATGTTTGATAGTCTAGAGAGCTTTCAAGCTTTAATTTTGTTACAACTTTTTAAAATAATTAGTTTTTCTGAGAAAATTTACAAATTTAGTGGCAAGAACTAAAATTGTTCATTAACCAAGTGTCCTCAAATAGAGGTTATCTAAAACTATCTAAAGCATCGAATCTTTAACAACCAGTTAAGCTTCTATTCATAAACAGATTACTTAAGCAAGTGTCCTTTTTAAAGCCAAGTCTTAAACTGTGTTTAACAAAGGGTAAGTTAAACTAAACGTTCTTTTAAATAGAAAATAATAAACTTTGTTTAAAAGTCGATTAGTGAAACTAAACTTTGTTTAGTAAACGATTAGTTAAACTAAAATTTTATTGTTTAGAAGATATCAAATTATGATTTTGAAAATCTTTCTAAAACCCTTATCAACCAGTTAAACTTCGTTTCATCAACAGTTTACTTAAATAAGAAACGTTTTAAACTGAACGTTCTTTTAAGTAGGTAAAATAAACTTTGTTTATAAGGCTATTGGTGAAATTAAACTTTGTTCAGTAAACAATTAGTTTACAATTAGTTTGATAAACTAAAAGTTTATTGTTTAGAAGACATCAAATCCTGGTTTTGAAAATTCATTCTAAAACCCGAATCTACGCAGACAAATTACACTTCGTTTCATCAACAGTTTTCTTAAACAAGAGGCGTTTTTGAAAACAAATCTTAACAAACAATAAGTTAAACTAAACGTCCTTTTTAAATAGACAAAATAAACTTTGTTTAAAAACCGATTAGTGAAATTAAACTTGGTTTAGAAAGCAATTGGTTAAACTAAAAGTTTATTATTTAGAAGATATTAAAATATGGTTTTTAAAACCTTTCTAAAAACCTTACCTAAGGCGACCAGTTAAACTTCGTTTCATCTAGAGTTTACTTAAACAAGAGGCATTTTTAAAGCCAAATCTTAAACTGTGTTTAGAAAACGATTAGTTAAACTTTGTTTAGAAAATGATCTTTCTAAAACCCTAAGCTATACACATCAGTTAAACTTCGTTTCATGAACAGTTTAAGACGTTTTTAAAGTTAAATCTTAAATGTGTTTCGAAAACATTTCGTTAAACTATTTTTTAGTTTAAAAATCCAACTTAAACTTTGTTTAAATAATGATTAGTTAATCTGAAAGTAAGTTTATATCGACAAAACTAAACTTTGTTAAGAAAATGATCTTTCTAAAACCCGAATCTATACAGATCAGTTAAACTTCGTTTCATCAACAGTTGACTTAAACTAGAGACTTTTTTGTAGACAAATCTTAAACTGTGTTTAGAAAACAATTAGTTAAACTAAACGTTAATTTAAAAAGATAAATTAAACTTTGTTTAAAGAACGATTAGTTAATCTGAACGTAAATTTATATCGACAAAATCTAAACATTAATTTAAAGGCAATTTAAACTGTATTTAGAAAACGATTAGTTAATCTGGACTTAAATTTAAGTCGAAAAATTGATCTTTGTTTATATAAAGTTTAGATAAACTATGTTTAGAAAGACTAATTTAAAAAGATTAATTAAACTTTGTTTAAAGAACGATTAGTTAATCTGAAAGTAAAATTATATCGACAAAATCTAAACATTAATTTTAAGGCAATTTAAACTGTATTTAGAAAACGATTAGTTAATCTGGACTTAAATTTAAGTCGAAAAATTTATCTTTGTTTATATAAAGTTTAGATAAACTATGTTTAGAAAGACTAATTTAAAAAGATAAATTAAACTTTGTTTAAAGAACGATTAGTTAATCTGAACGTATATTTATGTCGACAAAATCTAAACATTAATTTTAAGGCAATTTAAACTGTATTTAGAAAACGATTAGTTAATCTGGACTTAATTTAAGTCGAAAAATTGATCTTTGTTTATATAAAGTTTAGATAAACTATGTTTAGAAAGACTATGTTTAGAAAGACAAATTAAATTCTGTTTAACTCTGTAAATTTATAGCGAAAAAACTAAACTTTGTTTAGAAAATGTTTGGACTGTGTTTACAAAACTGAACGTTAACTTTTGAAAGCGTTTAGTTTATCTTTGATCTTTGTTTACAAAACGATCAGTTAGACTGTGTTTAGAAAATGATTAGTTAAACTAAACATTAGTTTTAGAAAACCATTAGATAATCTAAAAGTAAATTTTTTCAGAAAGCTATTAGTTAATCTGAAGGCAAATTTAAATCGGAAAATTGAACATTGTTAAACGAAAAGGTAATTTAAAGATCGTTTAGAAATGGAGATTTAACGAAGATTAGCTGCTTTTTACGGTTTATGAAAACAAAATCGTTCTGTGTAGTTACAGCTGAATAAATTTCCAATAGGATTCGTTTTGAAAACAAATTTTAAATCAAATATTATAAATTTTCAAAGATTTTAACGATCATTATAACAATTAGTTTTCAGTTTAACTTACGTTTAAACTGTAGAAATGTACAATGTATTCAAAATGATAATTTACACAATTTAAAACTGAGAGCACCTCGATTTCAACTGTTAATGAAAGTAAAATCGATTTATGTAGCTTCAGCTGACGAAATTCCAAGTAGAACTTGTTATAGAAATGAATTTTAAGTTCATCAAACATTTAAACGATCGTTTTATGGAATTAGTTTTCTATTTAACTTAATTTACACATTTTAAAACTGGGAGTTCCTCGATGTCAACTGTTAATGAAAGCAATATAGATTTGTGTAGCTTTACGATGACGAAATTTCCAGTAGAACTTGTTATAGAAATGAATTTTAAGTCCTGCATACAAATTATTAAACATTTAAGCAAACGCTTTATGTAATTAGTTTTCCATTTAACTAAAGTTTAAACTAAAGGCCTGTAAAACTGTCAAACTCATATTAAGCGTTTTCCTACAACGTAATGAAAACAAACTTCCTTGATAACACTTCCCTAAAACACCGCTTTTTCTCTAATCCACAAAATAGATGAAGTAAACAAAATCTTTCTTCCAGTGGCAGTTTAAATGAATTATTGTTAATCATAAATAAACAAACATTCGTTCCTCGAATTGAAAACCAATAAAAAAGAAACCACAAATTAAGAAATTAGCACACACACACACACAGCAATAACATCAACAACTATGTATATAAAAACAATTTTATGTTTTTTTTTTGTTTTTTCTTTCAAATATTACAAAGGCAAATTATGATTTGACTGTTTAAATTAATACTGTTTCCTATTTTTTTCTCAACAATGATCAGCATCATGAATTGGAAGATTCACTTAAGGATTTGGTAGGGCCATTGGCCGTTGTTGAATTTCCTTCATTTTGTTGTTGCTGCTGCTGTTGGGTACGTGGTGTTTTCAGAAGCCAACGATGTAAAGTATTAGATGTAGAGGGTGTTTTTGTGGGAGTTTCATTGTTTTTAGTCTTTTTTATACTACTGCCTGTGGCTCTCATTGGAGTAGTCGAAACTGTTGTTTTATTTGCATTTATTGTTTTATTATCATTTGTTTTTGTTGTTTCATCATCGGATTTATGTTGATTTCTATTAACCTTACCGCCAGCATGATGATGATGATGCCGTGTAATGGTTGGCAGAACAGGACTTTCATCTAAAGTCCATAGATTTATTTTAACTGAACCTCTAGAACGTGTTCGTGGTGTATGATTATCGTTTTGTTGTTGGGGTGTACTATTGCCAGTCTGATTTCTTAGGCTAGTGTGTAAAGTTGTATTGGATTTGCTGGCGGACAAGGGGGTCTTTTTAAGGGTAGAATTTAAATTAGATAGACTATCATTATCCTCGGACTCTGATTCATCGGATACATTGTAATAGGTGGAATTAGTAGTGGTATCTTGATTATGAGCCGCCCAAACATCCATACTGGACGAGTTGCCAGCATCAGTTTGATGCTGATTTTGGTTATGACGTTGCTGGTGATTAGTACTGCCCTCTTCACTGTGATTATTATCTTCATCATCATCTTCACCATAATTATCATTATCACCAGCTGTGGCATAACTTGATTTATCATCATCTTCTTCTTCCTCCTCCTCGTCATTATCTAAATTATGAGTATTTTCATTATCTTCAGGATTTTCTTCATTATTTGAATCTTCTTCATCCATTTTCATAGTCTTACCACCACGACTTCTTATTGGCAAATTGTGTATGGTACGAGGAGCACTGGTTTTTCTATTAGTTGTTTTTGCTTTATCTCTTAGCGATTTGTGTTCATCAATTTCACTTTCTTCCGGTTCATCATCTTCAGTTTCATTGTGTTCAATAGTTTCCTGGCTATCATCCTCTAAAGTATGATCTTCTTGTTTAACTTCTTCCCCTTCTTCCTCTTCATCTTCTTCGTCTTCATGTTCTTCTTCCTTTTGTGCTGCCTTTCTGGGACTATGTCTTAAAACTCTGCGTGTGGTATTTACTGTCACTGTTGCTCTTCTCTTGGCTGTAGAAGCTGTTGCTCCTTTGCCAGCACTCACACTCAATTTCCGTTTTCTTTGTTCTGTTGTGTCCTGTTGATTTTTACGCAACATTTCCTGTCGCCGTTTTTGCTGCATACGTTTTTGTGCAAAACTTAAAAGTTTTTGATTTTTCACACCCGTTTGTGTTTTTAAGGTTTTTGAACTTGTTTTCAAATCATTACCTGCTGCAGCTGCTGCCGCCATTGATGTGCGTGTGGTCTTTCTATTGGTTACATTACAAGAAGACTTTTGTCCCTTAGCTTGTGTAGTTCTAGAGCTAGTTAAAGTTTCCTTGTTGGAGGAACTATTTAAACTACCACGAGAAGCTGCTGAGCGATTTAAGGATCTTAATCTGCGCCTATTTACTATTTCTTCTTCGTCATAGTCTATGACTTTTCTAATCTTACGGAATTTATTAGTTTGTTTAACTAGTTTTTTCTTCACTGATTCCTGCCCTTGTTCTTCTTCATCTTCGCTTTCTTCTTCACTAGTTTGTAACTCATTATCTTCTTCATCTTCTACCTCCTCATTTTGTGTATCATTTTCACTATCTTCCTGTTCTGTTAGATTTTCATTTTCATCTTCTTCCTCCTCCTCTTCTTCCTCTTCATTCTCATCACTAACCTCTTCACTATTACTACTGTCTTCTTGACTGCTATTGTCATTACTTTCCCCCCTACTATTACGATTTCTAACACGTGTTTTATTCTGTCTAACTGTTTTACTTGTAGTGGGTTTATTTTGCAATCTAGTGCTAGAACGTCGTCTTCTTATTTGCAATTCTCTACGATTACGTTGGGCTTTAGCTCCAGCTGTTTGAGCTGTTGCTGTGGACGAACCTTTACGGTTTCTTAAAGCCGCTAATCTTTGTTTATTTGTTTGCATCTTACGTTTAGCCGCTATATTAGTTTTATTTCTACGATTTTTGTTATTGTTCTTATTATTAGTAGATTTATTAACCTGATTTGTTGCATCCTTTCGTGAATAGGTTAGGGGTTCTTCAGCACTCTCCTCTTGTTTCAGCAATTCAGCTTCTTTTTGCAAAGCCGCCAAACGATTAGCTTCCCATTCTCGTTTTTGGGCCTCTAGCTCAGCTTCGGCAGCACGCAATTGTTCTGCTGTCCAAGCCGCGCCAGTTTCTTCCACAAAACGCATGGCGTAACGTTCAATGGGTGAGAGCTGTAAAAGAAGAAAAGAATCATAAATTAATTTTAAAGATTTTTATTGAAAATTAACATTTTGTTTAAAAGAAAGTTAAAATTTAAAATCTATATGACGTTGAGTGATATAATCAAGCGTTTGAAATCGCTTTAACTATGTCTGAGCGTCCTTCTTTAAGAAAAAGATTAATCTAGGCATTAAATATTCGTGTTGAAATTTAATTTATAGAAAATATAAAACTTTGAATATTCAATGCCCTAAAATAATAATGAACTTTAAGTAAAAATAAAAATTTAATTCTGTTTAACGTTGAGTGATATAATCAAGCGTAACAGAGATCGCTTTAACTATGTCTGAACGTAAATCTTAATAAAAAGAATTGATCTAGGCATCAAATATTTGTGTTAGAATTTAATTTATACAAAATATAAAACTTTAAATATTAGATGCCTTAAATATCTGATTTGAGAGATGACAATTACCATTTTCATTACAAGTAATTGATAATTGTTAATTGTAATTACTTTTGAATTTATAACAATTAGACTCAATAGCTACTAAAGGTGTAATAACTAGGGTTTGAAACCAGATTTAAACAATCCCACAACAATTGGTTCTTCGGTCCGAAACGACCCCAGTAATACTCGGCCAAAGAGTATCCAGCAAAAGCTGTATCAACCGAAAGTTTTTTGCCCAAGAAAGAACTATTAACAACAGCGAAACGGTTACAACAAGAAGTTCTTATGGACTTGAAAAGGAACAGCTATATAAAGATGCTCAGTAAAACTTAAAGATGTGTCTTTTTGGGCAACAAGGAGCGTACCACAAGCGACCTTGCACATTCTACTTTGTCCCCTAGATGCCCATTATGACAGCTAGGAACCTATTAAGACTATATAGGCCTTCGATAATCAAAGCTACGCTACAAAATCATACAAACATTTTGAAGGAAGTTGATCTACTTGATCTAGTTAACTATTCTAATGGAATTTGTGATCGCAGAATTACGACTTTACATTTCGGAACTACACTTATGATAGAATTTGTAACTAATAACGATTGGTGTGGACTCGATAAACTGTTTGAGATGTGTGCAGCATTTACCGATGGCATCAAGATAGATACTGACATAGGTGTCTACAATGGACGAGTGAAATGTCTAACATGGTAACAACTTAGCGATATGGTAACAACTTATGTCGATAGTCAAGGCTGCACTAGGAGCAATGAGAGAATGAGAATGTAGAAATGATCTAAGTGTTATTATGAGACTATTTACAATGAGACTGTGTTAGATACCAGGACATTGCAACGTACAGGGTATGAGGAAGGTAACAAACTAGCGATATCAGGTTCAAATCTTGACCCTCATGAAAGGAACAGAAGGGAAATTGTTCTACGGAAAATGCTGCAAATAGTAGAATGATTTGCACAGGGCCTTTGGCCAAGACTTGATGCGAAAGCTACCAGGATACTTATTGGGCTAGATAGTTGTCGTCTATTCACTCTAATAGAGATGATTTTTGTATTAGGACTTTAGTCAGTATGTGGTACAATACAGTAACGGACTTCGGAAGCAGGTTATGCTAGGATATTGAGGAAATAAAGTTAGTTGAGCACATTATCTGCCAAGCTTTCAGAATGAAATGGTTAGAAAATAGATTCCACGACGAACTGGTGGATATGGCAGGTTACTAGGTTTTATCACAGAAATAAGGCGTTTCTTTGTTTAATGACTAGAGTGTCGATTCTTAACACCTATCTGAATCCATTTACTTTCAGAAATCAGGTTGATTCCCTTGAGTTTCAAACCTAGTTCCAGTCCTTTCCTTTTTTCGCTTCTTTCTCTTTTTGCTCTTAATTATTTTCTATTCTTAATTCTTTATATTATCTGAAATGAAACACAATGGACCTCGGTGGTCTCCGAGTGAACCTAACACACCTAACCTAATAAGTCCATTTATTAAAAGTTTGACTAAGGGCGTGTTTTTGAGATAAAGATAATCTACATTCTTTGTTTAAACCTAGTTTAATATATAGAATGGTTTTGTGTTTTTTAGTAAACAGTAACGTTACTTATTATCTTAGTTTAACTGAGTGTTATTGGCCAATTAAACTTAAGTTATAATTGAGAAGACATAATTAACAAAAACAATAAAACAATGATTTCGGAAGAACAAAAACTTAATATTTTAAGTAAATTGCAATTTTCTGATTTGTTTTGTTTTATTTATTATTGTTTTAAATGTTTATTTAACATTTTTCCAAAATTTTTCATTTTACAAAAGTATTATTTGCAAAAAACAGCTGTTCATTGTTTATGTTTTTGAGTGAAAAGTTGTCAATACTAACAAAGTTAACTGAACTTAAATCCATAACTGAAAAACACAATCATCCGTTAAAGTCCGTCTAAATTTGTTCCGAGTTTAATATAACAGCAAGTTAAGCCTAGTTTAACTGAGTAGTAAGAAACCCGCCCTAAGGAAACAATACTGAAGTTCGATCCCATATTCAATACATATTAATATGATTGTCTGACGTTGAGTGATATAATTAAGCGTGACAAAAAGATCGCTTTAACTATGTCTGAACGTCTGCAATTAATATGGGCACTAAATATTCATGTTAAAATCAAGAAACAACAGATTTTTACTTTAAATACTCAATGCCCTCTATAACACTGAACCCAATTTTATTCTAAAACTATAAAATATATTAATTTAAAAAAACTGTTAAACGTTGAGTGATATAATTAGGCGTGGCAAAAAATCGCTTTAACTATGTCTGAACGTCTGCAATTAATATGGGCACTAAATATTCATGTTAAAATTTACAAACAAATATTAACTTTAAATACCCAATGCCCTTTATAAAACTGATTTTAATTCCATATTCCAAGATCCTAAAAATAATAAAAATATATAACAAAACTGTTGGACGTTGAGTGATATAATTAGGCGTAGCAAAAATCGCGTTAACTATGTCTGAACGTCCATTTAATCTAGCTTAAAAGAAATCCTATATATTGTCAACAATAAAAACAATACAAGAATAAATTTTAAGCATAAACTTTATAATATAATTTTAATAAAAAAGAAAACCATTTGTCCAAACATACCTGTTTAACTAAATTTTGCATTTCCAAATCGGCCTTACTAAGTTCAACATTAGTATCGGCCGCTGTTGTGGTTTCATCCAACGGAATGTTTTCATCAAATTCAGCTAAATCTGCAGCCACCTCTGCCTTAGCCGTTTTAGTGGCTTGAACATCCTGTTCATCTTCGGCAGCAGCTAAAGCGCTTTCAAATGCTTTTAGAGATTGTTTTTCCAAATCAACTTCAGGATTTTCTAATGCCGCCGTAGATGTAGTAGGTTTATCATATGCCTCCTGTTGAGCTGCAGTAGAAGTTGTTGCATTACTGTTGTTATCACCCATCTGTTGTTGTGTTTCCACATTAAAGAGATCCTTAATGGTGGAACTCTTAAAGAATGAAGTGGTAAAATTACCACCCTCAATGGCCATATCACTAAGCATACGCTTTTGATTGGCCTTCTTGAGTATATTGACTTCGATGGTCTTTTCGGAAACTAAACGATAGATGTGTACATCTCTGGTTTGTCCAATGCGATGACAGCGATCCTGCGCCTGAGCATCCATGGTGGGATTCCAGTCTGAATCGTAAAATATCACAGTATCAGCTCCAGTCAAATTAATACCTACACCTCCCGAACGTGTTGATAAAATAAAACAGAATATACGTTTGTCGGTATTGAAACGTTCCATAAGCAATTGTCTTTGCTCTACTTTAGTGGCACCATCTAAACGTAAATAGATATGACCATGATAGTTGAGGAAGGCTTCTAAAACATCCAACATTTTAGTCATTTGTGTAAAGATTAAAACACGATGATGACCCGACTTTAATTGTTTCAACAAACGATCCATGGTCTGTAATTTACCACAGTCATATTGTATGAGACGAGGATCGGGGAATTGTGTTGTCATGGCCGATATAATGGGATGCAACATGGTCAGTTTAGGTGACATTTCACGTTGTATAGTGCTCTCGACTTGCTGTTCTTTCAAATAACGTCTGGACGTTAAGTTATTAACATAGAAACGTATGCGGGGAGCACAGGCGGACGGTACATAAATGACAAAATTTTGAAATATTTGCTTAAGGTCTTCACAACGCTGTTCGTAGGATTTTAACATTTTATTTAAGGTCCAATTATCATGACGTCTTGCCATGGCTGTTGAACAATTTGTTAAACCTCTCGTTTGCCAACTGGAGTATTTCAAAAGATTACTGGCTTCTTTGCATTGTTCTATGGACTCTCGACAATCAGCACCATAAATGGGTGTAGCCTCGGTGCGTCTCTTATTGACATTGGCCATTAGTTTGAGACGTGCCAATCGTTGTTCTTTACGCTGTTGTAAGATATCGCTCATATTATAAATGGGATCCAATTCAGATGAAGTATCATCCTCTATATCATCCTTGGGTTCAGTCTTAACAGTTATTTCCTCATTGAGTCTAGACGAACTATTGGTTTTAACCTGTTGCGCCAAAGCCGCCACCAGACTTTTGTCATCTCTGGTTGATTCTGTTTTAACTGTTGTCTTCAAGGTCTCACCATTAATGGTGTCCTGTAACTTCAACTGTTTAGCTGGGGTTGGTCCCATTGTAACATCGGTCATAGAAACATCTCGAGATCTGGTGGTGATGCACGCCGGTGTTATTGGTCCAAGTTTGGGTGTACCCACTGGATTTATAACATTATTTATGCGTTTGCCTATACGACTATTAGTTGTTTCTCCTATGCCGGCTCCAACGGCTGGCATTGTGGCCAGTGCCGGATTAACTGGCACAAATTTATTGCCTTCCTTGCGCATAGCCGGACTGGCACCCACCTTAACCGTTTGTCTGGCATGTGTATTGATACTTTGTTGTACCTTTACATCTCTAACACGTATATGGAATTTATATTTTCCTGTTGGGCATCTTGGGGGCGGTTCGGGTATGGTATCGATTTCTTCGATTAATTTACGTGGCGCTGCCAGTAAACGTGATTTGTGGGACACATACGCAGTAAGTGTAAGTTCCAATTCAACAAGTAACAAATTAAGAGAGTGCAAATCAATTTGCTAGAGAGGATAAAGTGAAAAAAAAAAATTAACAAATATTAGTTTCAAAATTAGTTTCCTTTGTTCATAAATAAAATAAAACTTAAAATTTTGGTTACATTTCACTCACCGTAAATGGATCATATTCCATTAGATCACATATTAAACGTGACGTTTCATATGAAATACCCTCCATTTGAAAGGGTGACAATGTGGGACGAACTTCAAACATATTGGGATGATTACAAACTTTACGCAATTGCATAAGAACATTAATAACGCTTAATAAATTGCCCGTAGACAAGGTTTCTCTAGTTCTAAAAGGAGACAAAAAGCAAAATCATTAAATTAAGATGTAAACCTTAATTTAGTCATAACAAACTTACTTGGAGCGACTCATGAAATCATCATACAAATAACGCTGACGATTTGATAAACGGCACATGACCACATGTTCATACTTTTTGGGCATTTGTTTTTCAACTTCTTTCTTTAAACGTCTCAGCAAAAAGGGTCTAATTACCTTATGCAGCCTTTGTATTAACTGTTCATTATACTCCATATTACCCTCAATCATACCGGTCATTGGATTGGAAAACCATTCTTTAAATTCACGATGTGATGAGAAAACATAGGGCATAAGGAAATGCATTAAAGACCATAATTCCATTAAATCATTTTGCAAAGGAGTGCCGGTTAGCAGCAGACGTCTGTAATGGAAAAAAAGGAAACAGTTAATTTTAGTATTTATTTTCAATAGAAATTTTAAATTTTCTTTAAATGATTTTTGTTTTGATTTATGTTAAACAGCTTATTAAAAGTAAATTTATAAAAATAAAAATTTACTTCTTGCTAGTGTTTAGTTTTTTTTCTAAAGCTTAATTTAGCATTCATGTACGATTTCCTTGTTGAATGAAAAACAACAAAAAATGCTTTTTTGAATGCAAATTACAAATTTCTTTAATAAAATACTTAAAAGTTTTCTTTTATATTTATTTATTGTCTAAATTTTTTCTATACAAATTTAAAAGATTTAAAATTGGTATAAAAATAGCAAATTTAGACAATTTTAATTTAAGCACCTAAGCGTAGTACTTGAACTAATTTAGCAGACGTTAAGTACTGATTATGGTGCTAAAGTTTTGTATTAGTATTTGTTATTTTATTATAAATTGAAAAGTAGTTTATAGCATAAAATTCTCAAAATAAACTTTTTAAGAAATGAACAAAGTTTTTAAAAAGGAAATTATTGCAAAATTTATTTTAAGCGCCTAAGCGTAGTATCTTAACTAATTTAGCAGACGTTAAGTTACTGATTATGGCGCTAAAGTTAATGATAATCACACAATCTCTTGTAAATCTATTCCAATTAAACAAAAGTTATTATATCAACTTTGTTCACAGTAATCTTGATATCATGTACTAACATAGTATATTTGCAATAGTAGTAAATATGCAATTATTTAAAGAATTCATTTTAAACTGAAAATTTCTTCTATATTATCGCCTTAAAACTTAATTTAACTTTAAAAACCTCATCTGTTTTAGTTTTGCCTAAAAATCTCAGTTTACAAGCCTTGTAAATTTGCAATCTCAGTTATCTATAAGTAGTTTATTCTGTTAAATATTCTTACATATTTAAATTGTAGCATAAAATCTTTAATTAGTTATTAAAGCAATTATTAATTACTATAAATATTGAAATTATTGCAAGAATTATTTTAAGCGCCTAAGCGTAGTATCTTAACTAATTTAGCAGACGTTAAGTTACTGATTATGGCGCTAAAGTTAATGATAATCACACAATCTCTTGTAAATCTATTCTAATTAAACAAAAGTTATTATTTTAACTTTTTTCGAGAGACACATAGATAAACACGTACTAATATAGTATATTTGCAATAGTAGTAAATATGCAATTATTTATAGAATTCTTTTTAAACTGAAAATGTCTCCTATATTATCGCTCAAACCACCTTAAAACTTTATTTAACTTCAAAATCCTCATCTGTTTTAGTTTTGCCTAAAAATCTCAGTTTACAGGTCTTGTAAATTTGCAATCCCTGTTATCCATGAGGAGTTTATTCTGTTAAATATTCTTTACATATTTAAATTGTAGCATAAAATCTTTAATTAGTTATTAAAGCAATTATTAATGACTATATAAGTGATATTATTGCTAAAAATTATTTTAAGCGCCTAAGCGTAGTATCTTAACTAATTTAGCAGACGTTAAGTTACTGATTATGGCGCTAAAGTTAATGATAACCACACAATCACTTGTAAATCTATTCTAATCAAACAAAAGTTATTATATCAACTTTGTTCGCAGTAATCTTGATATCATGTACTAACATAGTATATTTGCAATAGTAGTAAATATGCAATTATATATAGAATTAATTTTAAACCGAAAATTTCTCCTATTTTATCACTCAAACCCCCTTAAAACTTAATTTAACTTCAAAAACCTCATCTGTATTAGTTTTGCCTAAAAATTTCAATTTACAAGCCTTGTAAATTTGCAATCTCAGTTATCTATAAGTAGTTTATTCTGTTAAATATTCTTTACATATTTAAGTTGTAGCATAAAATCTTTAATTAATTATTAAAGCAAGTATTAATGACTATAATATTGAAATTATTGCAAGAATTATTTTAAGCGCCTAAGCGTAGTATCTCAACTAATTTAGCAGACGTTAAGTTACTGATTATGGCGCTAAAGTTGATGATACTCAATCAAGCTATCTCATTAAAATCTATTCCAACTAAATAAAAGTTATTATTTTAACTTTTTTTGAGAGAAACATAGATAACACGTACTAACATAGTATATTTGCAATAGTAGTAAATATGCAATTATTTATAAAATTAATTTTAAACCGAAAATTTCTCCTATTTTATCACTCAAACCCCCTTAAAACTTAATTTAACTTCAAAAACCTCATCTGTTTTAGTTTTGCCTAAAAATCTCAGTTTACAAGCCTTGTAAATTTGCAATCTCAGTTATCTATAAGTAGTTTATTCTGTTAAATATTCTTACATATTTAAATTGTAGCATAAAATCTTTAATTAGTTATTAAAGCAATTATTAAATACTATAAATATTGAAATTATTGCAAGAATTATTTTAAGCGCCTAAGCGTAGTATCTTAACTAATTTAGCAGACGTTAAGTTACTGATTATGGCGCTAAAGTTAATGATAATCACACAATCTCTTGTAAATCTATTCTAATTAAACAAAAGTTATTATTTTAACTTTTTTCGAGAGACACATAGATAAACACGTACTAATATAGTATATTTGCAATAGTAGTAAATATGCAATTATTTATAGAATTCTTTTTAAACTGAAAATGTCTCCTATATTATCGCTCAAACCACCTTAAAACTTTATTTAACTTCAAAATCCTCATCTGTTTTAGTTTTGCCTAAAAATCTCAGTTTACAGGTCTTGTAAATTTGCAATCCCTGTTATCCATGAGGAGTTTATTCTGTTAAATATTCTTTACATATTTAAATTGTAGCATAAAATCTTTAATTAGTTATTAAAGCAATTATTAATGACTATATAAGTGATATTATTGCTAAAAATTATTTTAAGCGCCTAAGCGTAGTATCTTAACTAATTTAGCAGACGTTAAGTTACTGATTATGGCGCTAAAGTTAATGATAATCACACAATCTCTTGTAAATCTATTCTAATTAAACAAAAGTTATTATATCAACTTTGTTCACAGTAACCTTGATATCATGTACTAACGTAGTATATTTGCAATAGTAGTAAATATGCAATTATTTATAGAATTCATTTTAAACTGAAAATTTCTCCTATTTTATCACTCAAACCCCCTTAAAACTTAATTTAACTTCAAAAACATCATCTGTATTAGTTTTGCCTAAAAATTTCAATTTACAAGCCTTGTAAATTTGCAATCTCAGTTATCTATAAGTAGTGTATTCTGATATATATTCCTTTCACATTTAAATTGTAGCATAAAATCTTTAATTAGTTATTAAAGCAAGTATTAATGACTATAATATTGAAATTATTGCAAGAATTATTTTAAGCGCCTAAGCGTAGTATCTTAACTAATTTAGCAGACGTTAAGTTACTGATTATGGCGCTAAAGTTAATGATAGCCACACAATCTCTTGTAAATCTATTCTAATCAAAAAAAAGTTATTACATCAACTTTGTTCGCAGTAATCTTGATATCATGTACTAACATAGTATATTTGCAATAGTAGTAAATATGCAATTATTTATAGAATTAATTTTAAACCGAAAATTTCTCCTATTTTATCACTCAAACCCCCTTAAAACTTAATTTAACTTCAAAAACCTCATCTGTATTAGTTTTGCCTAAAAATTTCAATTTACAAGCCTTGTAAATTTGCAATCTCAGTTATCTATAAGTAGTGTATTCTGATATATATTCCTTTCACATTTAAATTGTAGCATAAAATCTTTAATTAGTTATTAAAGCAAGTATTAATGACTATAATATTGAAATTATTGCAAGAATTATTTTAAGCGCCTAAGCGTAGTATCTTAACTAATTTAGCAGACGTTAAGTTACTGATTATGGCGCTAAAGTTAATGATAACCACACAATCTCTTGTAAATCTATTCTAAATAAACAAAAGTTATTATATCAACTTTGTTCACAGTAAAATTGATATCATGTACTAATATAGTATATTTGCAATAGTAGTAAATATGCAATTATTTATAGAATTCATTTTAAACCGAAAATTTCTCCTATTTTATCACTCAAACCCCCTTAAAACTTAATTTAACCTCAAAAACCTCATCTGTATTAGTTTTGCCTAAAAATTTAAATTTACAAGCCTTGTAAATTTGCAATCTCAGTTATCTACAAGTAGTTTATTCTGTTAAATATTCTTACATATTTAAATTGTAGCATAAAATCTTTAATTAGTTATTAAAGCAATTATTAATGACTATAAATATTGAAATTATTGCAAGAATTATTTTAAGCGCCTAAGCGTAGTATCTTAACTAATTTAGCAGACGTTAAGTTACTGATTATGGCGCTAAAGTTAATGATAATCACACAATATCTTGTAAATCTATTCTAATTAAACAAAAGTTATTATATTAACTTTTTTCGAGGGACACATAGATAAACACGTACTAATATAGTATATTTGCAATAGTAGTAAATATGCAATTATTTATAGAATTCTTTTTAAACTGAAAATTTCTCCTATTTTATCACAAAACCACTTTAAAACTTAATTTAACTTCAAAAACCTCATTTGTTTTAGTTTTGCCTAAAAATCTCAGTTTACAAGTCTTGTAAATTTGCAATCTCAGTTATGTATAAGTAGTTTATTCTGTTAAATATTCTTTACATATATAAGTTGTAGCATAGAATCTTTAATTAGTTATTAAAGCAAGTGTTAATGACTATAATATTGAAATTATTGCAAGAATTATTTTAAGCGCCTAAGCGTAGTATCTGATTATGGCGCTAAAGTTAATAATACCAAATCTCATGTTCACGATTTTTAACTATTTTATCCTTCAAACTTTAAGTTCCAAAAAAATATATTCACAAACTTACCTTTCCGTTGAAAAATTCAATAGCAATTGCCAACGTTGTGATTTAAAATTCTTAATATTTTGAGCCTCATCCAATATAAGATATTTCCATTTTTTACGACGGAAACTTTGTTGATCTTGCACCACCAGTTTGTAGGAAGTTATACACACATGAAAGGCATTGGGTTTAGTCCAACCGACACGTTTAAGTTTACGTTCTTTTTGTGAACCATAATAGGTGAGTATTTTAAAACCAGGACACCATTTTTTAAATTCCATTTCCCAATTTAACATGACCGAGGAGGGTACCACTATTAAATGGGGACCCCAGTTACCTTTGACACAGGCTAAATGAGCTAAGAGAGCAATAGTTTGTATGGTTTTACCCAAACCCATTTCATCGGCCAAAATGCCATTAAGTTTGCGTTCATTCATGGTTACCAGCCAGTCGAGACCAATGTGTTGATATTCACGTAAAGAGTGTTTGAGTAGAAAGGGTACTGGTGTAACGACATTAGTGGAGGATAAGGTATTGCCTTTGGGCTGTAACGATTCAGCCAAAGCGGCAGCATCTTTGATCATATCATCTTTACTGCTATTGTTGGCATTAGATGAATCTTCTAGCAGACTTTTTAAGCCTGCATCCTGTTCATTTTCTTCCGTTTCCTCGGTATTTTCATCCTCTTCTTCTTCATCTTCACTGTCGGTTTCCACTTCTTCCTCATCGGACTCATCCTCTTCATCGGCCGTAGAATCATCATCGGAATCACGCATGGCTCGACTTATAACTTCATCCTCATCTTCGAAATCCACCACTTTTTTAATTTTTCTATTCGATGTACTGGCGGCTTTTGTGTCATTATCGACTTGTCCAGATTTATATTTAGCCATTAGTTCTTCAACGGTTAAATCATTGTCAGCCTCTAGTTCATCGATTTCTTTTTGATGATCTACATCCATTTCTTCTTCCTCTTGTTTACTAATAGTATTCTCATCATCTTCACTGGTTTCATTCGCTTCAAATTCACCATCATCACTGTCGGTATCTTTCTTGCTGGCTGAAGTAGCAGCTCCAGATGAGGTTGTTGTGGTATCCTCTTCCAGCACAATTTTATCACGATTTTCCAAATAGCCTTTGGGCAAATCTTTAAGGAAATCATCCAAATCCATTTGAGATTCTTTTTCTAAAGCTGCCACTTCTGCATCGACATCAGCATTGTCTTCTTCCTCGGCTTTGGCTATAGTCTCTTCGTCATCCTCAGAAGCAGAATCCGGACGAAATTCATCTAACAGAATAGATTTAATAAACAAATATTAAGTATTAGTTTAGGCGTTAGAAAATTTATTTAAATTTTATATTTTTCTTTAAGGTTTAACATCAGACAAATGCCTCGCAAAAGCGACCATCCTGTTAATTTCCATAAGCTTTCTCAAAAATAGAGCATAAGCTTTAGAATCAGTGACTGTTTAACATCATGTGTTAGATTGTGATACTTCTGTTTAAATGTTAATTTGAGATTAAACTTACCATCTGTATTATCTCTTTTTGGTGACGATATACGACTTGAATTTATGCTGGGATTTGTTGAAGCATCTTTTATGGTCTTATTCATACCCTCCGCCAATTGTTGTGAAAACTTTTCCGTTTGATCGACAATAAATGACAAATGTTGATCCAAGGCCTTTTTACGTTTCTCCTCGATTTTCGTGTGATGTTTATATTCCACCAGTTTTTCTACATTGCCCCAAAACATTTTCACCTCTTTGGCTATGAAAGCCGCCACACGCTTAAGATGCAACTCTTGGGCCTTTTCGGCTTTTTGAGCAGCATTGGCTTTATCTTGGAAATATTTCTGCACCATTTTGGCACATTTCTTGGCGGCAGCCTTTTTCCATTTACGCTCTTGCGCAAAATCTGCTGCCAACCAAACCATTTCTTCTAGCAAATAATCCCAATGGGCTTTTGGCCGTGGTGGCTCCATTTGTTTTGGTAAACGTTTTTCAGTCCATAATCCCTCTCGTTGTAATTCCATAATACGACGCATAACATCCACTTCCTGTTTAGCCTTAAAGGAAAACTCTTGATTACTATTTGGTGTAGTGGCCGCTGACGAGCCAGCAGCAGCAGCAGCCGCTGCAGTTGCCGCACTTGCCGAACCCGCAGGCACCAATAAACCACTGGGTGTCGGAGAATACAAGGGCGGAGGAGTATTTGAACTAGCGACCACGCCATTACCGTTGCGCCGTAATGTTGTAGAACCTTGCGCTATACTGCAGGGTATCAATGGTGTACCACCTAAGAAATAACAGAAAAATAGTTGAAAATTAGTATAATTGGAACCAAATTAAAAACTTATTAGTTTAAAAGAAAATAAGAATAATACAAGAGATTAAATTTATTCGTTTGATAGTTAAGATAAGCAGAAAAACACACTTAACATGCCTTAAAAGAAAGATTTTACTAAATATATTCAACATGCTTTGAATTATTCTTTTATAATAATAATAAAAAAATAAATAAAAAAATTACTTTTTAATTGATTTTCAAATGTAACGCAAAAGCGAACATTCTGTTTTAAGATTAAAACTTAAAATCCTTACAAAATTTTATTTTGTTGGCAATTAAATGTAAACAAAGTAATCGTTTCTACTTGTCTTTAATTAGAGTAAAAACTTTGCATCTGTTTTTAGTTTTGCTTTAGCAACCATTTGACGATTTTCAAGCCGGTATTATAAGGACAAGAAAGTGCTTTTTAGGTGCTACTTTTACTCAGTTTAAAACTTGACCCATTTCTTATTATAACTTAAAATTAAACTAACCTTTACTTTAAATTACTTAATTTTTCAAATGTAATCAGAGTAATCGTTTTAACTTGTAATTAAATTTAGAAAAAACTTTGCATCTGTTTATAGATTTGTTGTAGCAACCATTTGACGATTTTCAAGCCGGTATTATTAAGGACAAGAAAGTGCTTTTTAGGTGCAAAAACATACCTTTCACGAAAAAAACTCATCTTTGTTCTCTTAACAAGTAAACTCAATCAGACAAATGCCTCGCAAAAGCGAACATCCTGTTTTTAGTTTTGGCACATTAAGATTCTCACAAAAATAGCTTGAATCTAACCAAAGTCAGTGACAATTTAACATCATTTTGAGAAATCATTAAGGACCAAAAGTGAATTGAAATACTGTTAACTTTTCTGTTAAAACTTTAAAACTTATTAATAAAGCAATAAAGTAGAAGCTAGAAACGTTATGTTATTCTAGCAAGGTTACAAATTGTTTCACTTGTGGTAAATAATCAATGTGACACAGAGTGCCCTTGCCTCTAGAAATATCAGTAGAAAGTTATATAATATTAGCAATACATAAAAAAGTTATCAATTGTAATCAGAGTAACAGATTTTACTAGTATTAGATTTTAGTAAAACCTTTGCATCTGTTTATAGATTTGTTCTAGCAACCGTTTGACGATTTTCAAGCCGGGATTAAAAGGACAAGAAAGTGCTTTTTAGGTGCATAATAAAACCATTTACAAACTAAACTCATCTTTGATCTTTTAACAAGTAAACTCAATCAGACAAATGCCTCGCAAAAGCGAACATCCTGTTTTTAGTTTTGGCACATTAAGATTCTCACAAAAATAGCTTGAATCTAACCAAAGTCAGTGACAATTTAACATCATTTTGAGAAATCATTAAGGACCAAAAGGGAGTGAAAATAATGTCAACATTTCTGTTCAAAACTTTAAAACTTATTAATAAAGCAATAAAGTAGAAGCTAGAAACGGAATTTTATTCTAGCAAGGTTACAAATTGTTTCACTTGTGGTAAAAGATCAATGTGACACAGAGTGCCCTTGCTTAGTTTAGATTTTGTTTCAAAATTCTTACGAATAAAAAAGTGTAGCAAAATTATATCACTATTATGTCTGGCTATAGTTTAACATAATAGTGTAAAGCGTTATTTTGCTCTTTATCTGGCAAAAATACAAATTGTTTTATCACTGTCTAATAAAATGATAACACAGAGTGATTTTGCCATAAAATATGTACTCATATCAGCAATATAATTTTATTTAACAGAATTTTTCGAAATTTCAATTTTACTAAAATTAAAATAACTCAAAACTAACCAAAGTTATAAACAATTTCAACAGAGTAACAGATTTTACTTTATGAAAATCTAGTAAAAACTTTGCATCTGTTTATAGATTTGCTGTAGCAACCATTTGACGATTTTCAAGCCGGTATTATTAAGGACAAGAAAGTGCTTTTTAGGTGCAAAAACATACATTTCACAAACTAAACTCATCTTTGTTCTCTTAACAAGTAAACTCAATCAGACAAATGCCTCGCAAAAGCGAACATCCTGTTTTTAGTTTTGGCACATTAAGATTCTCACAAAAATAGCTTGAATCTAACCAAAGTCAGTGACAATTTATCATCATTTTGAGTAATCATTAAAGACCAAAAGTGACTTAAACTTATGTTTAAATTGTAATCAGAGTAATCGTTTTAACTTGTTTCAAATTTCAGCAAAAACTTTGCATCTGTTTATAAGATTTTTTCTAGCAACCATTTGACGATTTTCAAGCCGGTATTGTAAGGACAAAAGTAACAAATACATACTAACAAATCTCCTTCTTGATCCCTTTTTCAATCAGACAAATGCCTCGCTAAAGCGAACATCCTGTTTTTAGTTTTGGCACATTAAGATTTTCGCAAAAATAGCTTAAATCTAACCAAAGTCAGTGACAATTTAGCATCATATTGAAAATTTAATTCGAATCAGTAATAGGAGTTGAAATACTGTTTACATTTTTATATAAACGTTAAAGCTTATCTATTAAGCAATAAAGTAGAAGCAAGAAATGTAATTTTTATCTAGCAAGGTTACAAATTGTTTCACTTGTGGTAAAAAATCAATGTGACACAGAGTGCCCTTGCTTAATTTAAAAATCAAGAGCTTTGGTATAACTTATAAACAATAATGAGTAAAATGATAAATATCTATTAGTCTAGTCTATAGGTTTTAGTTTCTAAAAATTATATACAAATTAAGCTAACTTAATTTATAATTATAAAGATCGAATTATAATCAGAGTAATCGTTTTTACTTGTATTAAATTTCAGTAAAAACTTTGCATCTGTTTATAGATTTGTTATAGCAACCATTTGACGATTTTCAAGCCGGAGTTATAAGGTCAAGAAAGTGCTTTTTAGGTGCATAATGGATGTATATTAAATAAATATTAAAATAACTATTAAGTTATATATTAGAATGGGCCAAAATGAAATCTTTAATGAGCTAGAAAATGTATTCTGATGATTTGTACGTTTGACTGCTTTGTTTTATTCTGGTACTGTTTTTGTGTAAGGAAAATTACAAAGAATCTTTAATAAAACTTAAATAAATATTTACAATTTTAAAGTGTAAATCGGTACAAAGAAAATATCATTGTCATCATGGATAAAACAAAATTCACACAAAAAAGTGGTTAATACAGAGGACAACAAAAAATTTAAATAGAAAACGGGCATGTCACGCACCATTAACTGTCTATATCTATAGCCTAGTCTATAGCCTAGTCTATAGTCTAGTCTATAGTCTAGTCTATAGCCTAGTCTATAGCCTAGTCTATAGTCTAGTCTATAGTCTAGTCTATAGTCTAGTCCATAGTCTAGTCTATAGTCTAGTCCATAGTCTAGTCTATAGTCTAGTCTATAGTCTAGTCCATAGTCTAGTCTATAGTCTAGTCTATAGTCTAGTCCATAGTCTAGTCTATAGTCTAGTCTATAGTCTAGTCTATAGTCTAGTCTAGTCTATAGTCTAGTCTAGTCTAGTCTAGTCTAGTCTATAGTCTAGTCTATAGTCTAGTCTAGTCTATAGTCTAGTCTATAGTCTATAGTCTAGTCTATAGTCTAGTCTATAGTCTAGTCTATAGTCTAGTCTATAGTCTAGTCTATAGTCTAGTCTATAGTCTAGTCTATAGTCTAATCTATAGTCTAGTCTATAGTCTAGTCTATAGTCTAGTCTATAGTCTAGTCTATAGTCTAGTCTATAGTCTAGTCTATAGTCTAGTCTAGTCTATAGTCTAGTCTATAGTCTAGTCTATAGTCTAGTCTATAGTCTAGTCTATAGTCTAGTCTATAGTCTAGTCTATAGTCTAGTCTATAGTCTAGTCTATAGTCTAGTCTATAGTCTAGTCTATAGTCTAGTCTATAGTCTAGTCTATAGTCTAGTCTATAGTCTAGTCTATAGTCTAGTCTATAGTCTAGTCTATAGTCTAGTCTATAGTCTAGTCTATAGTCTAGTCTATAGTCTAGTCTATAGTCTAGTCTATAGTCTAGTCTATAGTCTAGTCTATAGTCTAGTCTATAGTCTAGTCTTTAGTCTAGTCTATAGTCTAGTCTATAGTCTAGTCTATAGTCTAGTCTATAGTCTAGTCTATAGTCTAGTCTATAGTCTAGTCTATAGTCTAGTCTGTAGTCTAGTCTGTAGTCTAGTCTATAGTCTAGTCTATAGTCTAGTCTATAGTCTAGTCTATAGTCTAGTCTATAGTCTAGTCTATAGTCTAGTCTATAGTCTAGTCTATAGTCTAGTCTATAGTCTAGTCTATAGTCTAGTCTATAGTCTAGTCTATAGTCTAGTGTATAGTCTATTCTATAGTCTAGTCTATAGTCTAGTCTATAGTCTAGTCTATAGTCTAGTCTATAGTATTCTAGTCTATAGCCTAGTCTAGTCTATAGCCTAGTCTAGTCTATAGCCCATCTAGTCTATAGCCTAGTCTAGTCTATAGTCTAGTCTATAGTCCTATTCTAGTCTATAGTCTAGTCTATAGCCTAGTCTAGTCTATAGCCTAGTCTAGTCTATAGCCTAGTCTAGTCTATAGCCTAGTCTAGTCTATAGCCTAGTCTAGCCTATAGCCTAGTCTAGTCTAGTCTATAGCCTAGTCTAGTCTAGTCTAGTCTATAGCCTAGTCTAGTCTAGTCTATAGCCTAGTCTAGTCTATAGCCTAGTCTAGTCTATAGCCTAGTCTAGTCTATAGCCTAGTCTAGTCTATAGTCTAGTCTATTGTCTAGTCTATAGACTAGTCTATAGTCTAGTCTATTGTGTGGTCTATAGTCTAGTCTATTGTCTAGTCTATAGTTTAGTCTATTGTCTAGTCTATAGTCTAGTCTATAGTCTAGTCTATAGTCCAGTCTATTGTCTAGTCTATAGTCTAGTTTATGATCTAGTCTATAATCTGGTCCACTCCTGATAAGAGACTATTGAATGTAGTCCTTCGAAATAACAAAAAACAAATGCCGTATATAAAAAAAATTTCGAAAATTTTCAAAGATTTAAATATTTTGTATGTAAGAGCATCAATATCGAAAATTTTATAAAATTAAAAGCTTTATTTTACAAATTATGAAGAAATGTTTCTGCAAGATATTAAACTTTTTTTAAATAAAGAACTTTAACATAAATTTAGTTTATATTTATTTAACTACAATTAAAATAATAAACAACTACTTTAAACAAAATGACAACTATTAACTAACAAAATAAACATCAAAAATTAAAAGAAAATTAAATAAGAAAATATACACATTTAGCCAAATTAACTACTAATTAAAAAGCCAATTCTTTTTAGGTGAAAAAAAGTTGGCCAAAACTGATAAGTAGAAAAATCAAAAAAAAAAAGCCACTTCTTAAAAAATGGGGGATGCTTTACTTTAAATTAAATAATATAAAAACAAGAAAGAAAATTATGAAAATATAATTAAAAATGTGACACGAGCTAATGAAAGTATAATAAGAAAGTTTAGTTGTAATGAAACTAAAATTATAAATCGATTACAAAACAAGAGTAAAGAAAATTTTTTTGTTTGCAAAAATGTTAGGAAAAAACGATAAGCACCTGGCACCAAAGGTACAGTAGTATTTCCTACAGCAGGTGGGGCGGGTATTTGACCAAATACCATCCCGTGACGACCACCTAAAGGTCTACCCGGAATGTGACCTAAATTTTTGTAGTGATGTAGTTTTTTTTTTAGATAAATAATGAATTATGATTATAAAAAAGTTAAAAACATGTTTAAAAGGAGTAAAATAAATACAAAAGAAACAAAAATAACAAAAGGAAAAACTAATAATAAAAATATATAAAATACGAAAAGTGTTTTTTTAAAGGCCTTTTTTCTGGTAAATCAAATGAAAAATTTTGTATAATTCTTGTATAATTTTTTTTGGGGTGTTGTTCAAACAAAACATGTGTGAGATTATAAGTAGTAAGTAATGTGCTTTATTCTTTATTCAAGATGATCAAGGTGAATAGTGAGATGAGAGTTAAAAGCATTTTTTGTATAAAATATAAAAAATAAACTAAAAATAATAAAAATTAAGAAAATTTTGTTGAAACAAATTTAAACCAAAAAAAAAAAAAATTGAAAAACTAATAATAATTTCCTTTAAAAACTTGTAAATATAAAAGAAAGTAAGAAAACATACCTTGTTGTGTTAATTGTTGTACGGCTGCTGGTAGTTTTGTTGACACTGCCACTGGTGTAGCACCAACAGCAGGTATTTTTATTTCCGCTCCTTGAGGAGGCAATGGATTACCACTGGCATCTGTGGCCGTTAATGTCTGTTGTTGTATATTGGGCGTAGATGCGTTTGAAGAGGCAGATGTTGTGGAGGAGGAGGAGCTGGAAGTTGAGTATACAGTTGACGATGTTGCGTTGCTTGGATGTTGTTTGTTGGTTGTACTGCTTGGCAGACGTCCATAATTTGAGACCAATGAAGTATTTGCTGTTAAGGAGGAGGAGGATGAAGAGATGGTTGTTGCAGATGTTGATGTTACTGCTGCTAATGATGATGAGCTTTGTATTAAGGATGTTGTTGGATGAGATTGCGTATTCTGAAATGATAAAAATTATAAAACGTTAATTAAAATTTGATGGTAGAGAGGTAATGAGTTAAAGCAGGACAAGAAACCTCCTCAAAGTGAACGCTTGAACGCATTTTAAATGCAAAATAATCAAATACGATCAGCTAAACACATCTTTGACCTTTTAACAAGTTACTCAATCAGACAAATGCCTCGCAAAAGCGAACATCCTGTTTTTAGTTTTGGCACATTAAGATTCTCACAAAAATAGCTTGAATCTAACCAAAGTCAGTGACAATTTAACATCATTTTGAGAAATCATTAAGGACCAAAAAGGAGTTAAAATAATGTCAACATTTCTGTTAAAACTTTAAAACTTATTAATAAAGCAATAAAGTAGAAGCTAGAAACGTTATGTTATTCTAGCAAGGTTACAAATTGTTTCACTTGTGGTAAAAAATCAATGTGACACAGAGTGCCCTTGCCTCTAGAAATATCTGCAGAGTCATATACTATTAGCAATACATGAAAAGATGTAAATTGTAATCAGAGTAATCGTTTAAACTTGTAGTAAATTTCAGGAAAAACTTTGCATCTGTTTATAGATTTGTTGTAGCAACCATTTGACGATTTTCAAGCCGGGATTTAAAGGACAAGAAAGTGCTTTTTAGGTGCAAAATAAAAGGACAAATTAAGAACTGAACTCACTATTGATCTTTAAAACTTCTCAATCAGACAAATGCCTCGCAAAAGCGAACATCCTGTTTTTAGTTTTGGCACATTAAGATTCTCACAAAAATAGCTTGAATCTAACCAAAGTCAGTGACAATTTAGCATCATTTTGAGAAATCATTAAGGACCAAAAGGGAGTTAAAATAATATCAACATTTCTATTAAAACTTCAAAACTTATTAATAAAGCAATAAAGTAGAAGCTAACAACGTTATTTTATTCTAGCAAGGTTACAAATTGTTTCACTTGTGGTAAAAGATCAATGTGACACAGAGTGCCCTTGCCTGTAGAAATGTCAGTGAAGTCATATACTATTAGCAATACATAAAAAAGTATCAATTGTAATCAGAGTAATCGTTTAAACTTGTATTAAATTTCAGGAAAAACTTTGCATCTGTTTAGATTTGTTCTAGCAACCATTTGACGATTTTCAAGCCGGGATTAAAAGGACAAGAAAGTGCTTTTTTAGGTGCATAATAAAACCATTTACAAACTAAACTCATCTTTGATCTTTTAACAAGTAAACTCAATCAGACAAATGCCTCGCAAAAGCGAACATCCTGTTTTTAGTTTTGGCACATTAAGATTCTCACAAAAATAGCTTGAATCTAACCAAAGTCAGTGACAGTTTAGCATCATTTTGAGAAATTATTAAAGACCAAAATGGAGTTAAAATAATGTCAACATTTCTCTTAAAACTTTAAAACTTATTAATAAAGCAATAAAGTAGAAGCTAGAAACGGAATTTTATTCTAGCAAGGTTACAAATTGTTTCACTTGTACAAAATCAATGTGACACAGAGTGCCCTTGCCTTTAGAAATATTATTTGAGAATCATAAAATTGCATATTAGCACATATATAATAAGAAGATATAAATTGTAATCAGAGTAACAGATTTTACTTGTATAAAAAATCTAGTAAAACCTTTGCATCTGTTTATAGATTTGTTATAGCAACCATTTGACGATTTTCAAGCCGGTATTAGAAGGACAAGAAAGTGCTTTTTAGGTGCAATATAAAACTACCATTTACGAAATAAACTAATTTTTGATATTTAAACTATACTTTCCACATATTGGCACATTAAAATTCTCGCAAAAATAGCTTGAATCTAATCAAAATAACAAACATTTGACTTACCGTTTGTTGTGTTGTGTTGGTTGTATGATTAGCATTATTGCCGCTGCTAATATTACTAACACCACCACCACCACCAGACACACCAATAATTGTAGCTATATTATCAGCAACTGGTATTGATTGTTGTGACTGTAAGTGTTGCTGGTGTTGTGGTAGTAAAGAAACTGCCGTTGCACCAACATTAATAGCTGTTGCTGCTGCAGCTGCTGTTGATGGTGTTGATGTTGGCGTTCCTGTTGTAGCGGTCGTTGCTGTTGTTGTTGTTGTTGCTGCTGTTCTTTCATCGTTAACCAATTGTTCCAAACGATAGGCATTGCTAAAGGTGATGAACTGTGGGGTAGGTGCTTTTTTACGCCACGTAGGATAGTCCATCATATTGCCACCGGTTTGCAAATAAAACAATTCGGCGACATTTTCAGTATGTCTATAAAAAGAAATAATTAAATAAGTATATCGCAAATATTAAAGTTAATAATAAAAAAACTCACTTTTCCTTTAATCTACGTAAACGTAAATATTTCTGTTCTAATATACGTTTCTTTAAGTTTTGTATATCATGCGTTGTTGCTGTTGGTACTACTGCTGCTCCTGCTACCGTTGCTGTTACTAAAGATGCTGTTAATGAAGACGATGCTAATGATGAACTGTTGCTTATTAAAGAAGTGGACGTTGAGGTTAGCGTTGATGTTGCTGTTGGCAATAAAGAACCTACTAAAGATGTATTACTACTACAACTACTAACACCGCTAATGCCGGCTGCTGATAAAATTGTATGATTTTCTTGCAGTTGTTGCAAATGAGCTTCGTCTAATTTTTTACGTTTGCTGAGAGGTGAATTTATTGTGTTATCAGTATTGATAGCTGCTAATGAGCCAGGGAATGAACTTAATTGTTGCGGGTGTTCTTGTTGTGGTTGCGTCGTAGTCGCTGAGTTTTGATTTGTAGCAGTAGCAGCTGTTAGATCCGTTGTTGTTCGTATTGGCGTTTGAGGCATATGACCCTTAGACGGTGACGTTATTTGTATTCCTGTTTTAGCCGTCTTTATAATTGCTGATGGCGATGAGGTTAACGATGATGATGATGCTGATGATGATATGGAGCTGGTATTTAATGGTAATGTATCGGAAATTTGTAAGTGCTGTTGAGCGAAAGCTTGTTGAAAACTTCTTGGTATTGGACTGGTTACTTGTGGCTGTTGTTGTTGTGGCTGCTGTTGTAATGGTGCAGAAGCAACAACAGGTGTTGTAGTCAACGTCGTCCCGGAGCTTTGATTAGCTATATTTGACGTGGTTTTTATAGAGTTTGTTACAATATTTGTTGTTGTTGTTGTTGTTGATGATATGCGGTCTGGCACAGCAGGAGGGGCCGGGTTAGACCCTTGATGCCCCCCTCCTGCTGACTCACCTTCATTCATGTTTGATGCATCTAAAAAAAGATAAAAAACAAATAGAATTATTAATCTTTAAATAAGAAATCTTATATATATAAAGATAAACATGTAATACTTTATATCTTGTAGCAAAATGATATCACTATTATGTCGGTCTGTAGTTTAACTTAATAGTGTAAAGCGTTATTTTGCTCTTTATCTGGCAAAAATTACAAATTGTTTTATCACTGTCTAATAAAATGATAACACAAAGTGAATTTGCCATAAAATATGTACTCATATCAGCAATAAAAATAATTTAATTTAGAAAGAATTGCAAAACGTTGGAAAGCGACAAAACTGAGAAATAAAAGAAACGAATAAATAGTTATTAGGTTAAAATAGTTTATAAATTGTAAGCAGAGTAACAGATTTTACTAGTATTAGATTCTAATACAACCTTTGCATCTGTTTATAGATTTTTTGTAGCAACCATTTGACGATTTTCAAGCCGAGATAAAAAGGACAAGAAAGTGCTTTTTTAGGTGCAAAACAAAAGGATAAATTAAGAACTGAACTCACTATTGATCTTTAAAACTTCTCAATCAGACAAATGCCTCGCAAAAGCGAACATCCTGTTTTTAGTTTTGGCACATTAAGATTCTCACAAAAATAGCTTGAATCTAACCAAAGTCAGTGACAATTTAGCATCATTTTGAGAAACTATTAAGGACCAAAAGTGAGATGAAATACTGTAAACATATCTGTTAAAACTTTAAAACTTATTAATAAAGCAATAAAGTAGAAGCTAGAAATGTTATGTTAATCTAGCAAGGTTACAAATTGTTTCACTTGTGGTAAAAAATCAATGTGACACAGAGTGCCCTTGCTTCCAGCAATATCAGTAGAAAGTCATAAAATATTAGAAATATATAAATAGGTATCAATTGTAATCAGAGTAACAGATTATACTAGTATTAGAGTCTAGTATAACCTTTGCATCTGTTTATATATTTGCTTTAGCAACCGTTTGACGATTTTCCAGCCGGGATTTAAAGGACAAGAAAGTGCTTTTTAGGTGCAAAATAATCATATCATTTATGGATAAAACTCATTTCGATATATTAACAATTTTCTCAATCAGACAAATGCCTCGCAAAAGCGAACATCCTGTTTTTAGTTTTGGCACATTAAGATTCTCACAAAAATAGCTTGAATCTAACCAAAGTCAGTGACAATTTAGCATCATTTTGAGAAATCATTAAGGACCAAAAATGACTTAAAATTATGTCAACGTTTCTGTTAAAACTTTAAAACTTATTAATTAAGCAATAAAGTAGAAGCTAGAAATGTTATGTTATTCTAGCAAGGTTACAAATTGTTTCACTTGTGGTAAAAATATCAATGTGACACAGAGTGCCCTTGCCTCCAGAAATATCAGTAGAAAGTCACATAATATTAACATTACATAAAAAGTTATCAATTGTAATCAGAGTAATCGTTTAAACTTGTATTAAATTTCAGGAAAAACTTTGCATCTGTTTATAGATTTGTTGTAGCAACCATTTGACGATTTTCAAGCCGGGATTTAAAGGACAAGAAAGTGCTTTTTAGGTGCAAAAACATACCATTCAGGAAAAAACTCATCTTTGATCTTTTAACAAATAAACTCAATCAGACAAATGCCTCGCAAAAGCGAACATCCTGTTTTTAGTTTTGACACATTAAGATTCTCACAAAAATAGCTTGAATCTAAAGGGAGTTGTAAAACTGTTTACATTTCTCTTTAAACATTAAAACTTATTAATTAAGCAATAAAGTAGAAGCTAGAAAAGTCTAAAATCTTATAAATCTATAATAAAATTAAGACAATGATTATAAGCTTAAGTATAAGTTGATCATTTAACAAATTTCTCAATCAGACAAATGCCTCGCAAAAGCGAACATCCTGTTTTTAGTTTTGGCACATTAAGATTCTCACAAAAATAGCTTGAACCCAACCAAAGTCAGTGACAATTTAGCATCATTTTAAGAATTTATTAAGACCAAGAAAGAGTTAAAATATTGTTTACATTCTGCAAAAAAAACATTAAAGCTTGTTTATACAGCTTTATGGTAGAAGCTTAGAATGTAATTTTTATCTAGCAAGGTTACAAATTGTTCCACTTGTGGTAAAAAAATCAATGTGACACAGAGTGCCCTTGCTTAATATAAATTACTATATAATCTTAATAATTGTTAATGACTTATAAATAAACTAATTATCTTAATATATAAAACTTAAATTCTGTAATCAGAGTAATCGTTTTTACTTGTATTAATTTTGTAGTAAAAACTTTGCATCTGTTTATAAGATTTTCTCTAGCAACCATTTGACGATTTTCAAGCCGGTATTAAAAGGCAAAGAAAGTGCTTTTTAGGTGCATATGATTATGATTTGCAATAAATATAATCTGGTTGACTTAAGTCTACAGTAAAAGTAATTGAGTATGTATTCCCTAATTTCATAACAGGTAGAGAGGAAATGCTTTAAAAAATACGCATATGCTTTATAAATGTCAAAATTAACAACTAAAATTTCTAATTTCCAATGTACTGTATCTTTAAAGATCTTCTGCTTTAATCCCAACATTTCATTGTATTTTTTGGTTTGTCCCACATTTAACAACAACAATCAAGGGATATTGTAATTATATTTTGAAATTGTTGTCTTGTGTATAATTAAGTTGTTAAATCAACCATCTTTTCTTAGAAGGATCTTAAGTATACAATGTACTCCTGCGAAAAAGTTACCTGCGATCATCTAAATTCTAAATCAGGAATTGGTTATATTTTAGAACACTTTTTACGGAAAATCTCAATGTTCGGTTTTTGTATATTATTTTTTTTTAATTTCAAAATATTGATTAAAATATGACAATTAATTATCTGTCATTTAAATTTTTGTTGAAATTTCGTCTTATTCAAAATAATTCAAATAAAATGTTTCCAAAACAGTTGTCTTTGCCAAAAACAATACCCTCAAAATCTTCAAATCCATTTTTTATATTTCTACATGAATTTCGTCAAACTTTAAAAGAAAATTCCTCGGGTACCTCCCAAAAAGTAACACAAGTTGCTCAAATGGCGGGAGAGAAATGGAGACAAATGTCTAATAATGATAAATTGCTATATTTAGTATGGGCTCGTAAAAATCAACAGCAAAAACTGTATAAAACTAAAGAATATCAGAATAATGCTAAGAAGTACATAAGGAATCTGAAGAAGCCAAAGAAAAGAATCAGAAAACAACTTAAATCTTTTGTAGATCTTTCAAATTACATCAATTAAATGCTAAGGGTTCTTGTAGATCATCTTGATGATGATTTCAATAAAGATCAATAGATTAACATTCGGTCATTGTTTTTGAAAAGGTGTTTTGTGCTATCGAGGTAAAGAAAATGCAAATAACCTAATTAAACTATAATCAAGAAGATTTCTATTGAATTTTATCTTCCCAGTCCCAGTCCCGAACTGACCACTTAACCTACCACTTGTGGTGGCCCCTAGCCACCTGACTACCCAGGTGACCAACCATTTTAACATGGGCTTGTCCTACGAGTCAATGTCAATCGTCACTCTACACCCTACAAAGATACAGTAAAGAGACGATTGCCTCCGCTCTCACTTACAAAGGGGACACTAAAGTGACGACTGTCTTCATTCTCGTTTACAAAGAGTTTATTTGTGACTAAAGACCAAAAACATACGAATTGGAGGTGGTAAGATACTAATGGAACTAAAATTTAAAAATTTCAAGTGTCTACTCTCTAGAATACTATGGGACAATAATGTGACGATTGACCCGAAAAATATAAATTTGAGTCAACCAGATGGTGGCACATTAGTAGAAAGTAACAATTATTTCTCCAAAAGATGGGTAAAATAACTACTTTCGGAAGTACAAACAAAAAAAAAACAACTTTTAAGAGTATAATCTCTAGGTTACTTGAGGACAGTAAAGAGACGACTGTCTCCGCTCCCGCTTACAAAGAGGACACTAAAGTGACGACTGTCTTCATTCTCGATTACAAAGGGTACATTCGTGACGAATGACCCAAAACATACGAATTACGATCATCCAGGTGGTTAACTATTAGTGGAAATTACTGTCTTTTTCGTATGCATTGACTCTTTGTCGAACTGCTGGGTTTATACTGAAATTTACACATTTATCTATAACTGATTTCTATATTCTATTCTTATATGACAGCTATAATCAATAATCCACCGACTATATGGATGATTTTTTTTAATGACATTTGATCAATCGATCTTTATCTTTAATTTCAATTAGTTTCAAGTGTTCCAACCGGTTTCAATAGATTCGTATATGGAACAATAGAATCGAATTTCATTAGGATTGTTACTAGTAGTTTATAGATTATTGACTAGACTATACTATAGACTAAAAACGTGTTCATTGACTACGATGTGGACTTATATTTATCAAAAGTTTAAAGGTTAAAAAAAAACTACCGAAAATATCGTATGGGTAGCACGGTATTTTTCGTTATCAAAAAGTACTAATGCACTGAATTTTCCATGCCTGATATAGAGTACATATAAACTCTCCAGCACTGTAAATATCACCGAACAAGTTAAAAATCATAAAATTAAGTTGTTATTTTTAGATTTTTATTAAAAATGATTATTTTTACACAATCAAATTAAGGTGTGACTAAAACTAACTAAAATCATAAACATTAAACTATTTTAATATATAATAAAATTAAAATTTTAAGAAATGCTAAACAAGTTTTATTACTTTGTTTACAAAACGCCCTTGAACCGGTTATTAACGAAAAAAAAAATGCCGGTAATTATTTTCTCTTAATTACAAATGCAAATTTATTTAAATATAATGCAAAACATTAAAATAAACTATTTTTTATGATAACAAAATTTGCATTAAAATTTCCATTTAAAACAAATATTTTTTAAAAATCCATAAAATGCAACTCTGGTATTTTTATATTCTTTGCTTTTTTTTTAAACAAAAGAAAAAATTAAAAGAAAAACACACCAAGCGAAGCTAAAAAAAAAATATGCAAACACACTCACGCACACAAACACTAGCAAAATAATAGAAAAAAGAAGAATGAAAAGCAAAAAAAAATTTTTCTTCTCCTCTTCTAATCACTTTTGGATATAAAAATTTTATTTCTTTCTCTACACCTACCTCAGATGTCTTTAATTTTAATCATGAATTTTCGGGCATTTCTAGAGGCATCCGCACACAAAACAATTATAAAACGTTAATAAAAATATTAAATTATTTTTTAATTATGGAATTTTCAATTATTTTCACTGTTTAACAATAGAAATTTCAATTTAAAATTACAATTTTTTTACACGGGTGTTTGCGTTTGAGAACAAATGGAAAATTTTTTTCTTTCTCGTTTATGCTTGTACGTATATATATGGTTGTACTCTTCACACGTTTGGTTAACCGTATGTTTTGTTTCACTTTTGTTAAATTTTTTTTCTTAGAAAAAAATATATCACGTAATAAACGGCAGCAGCACTGTTTTAGCGAAGAATATGTTGTGAACACTTTGAGAACATGACGGAAACTGAAACTGTGGTGGGTTAATGCCGCAAATCAAAGTACACATCAGCCATTTTGGTAATTTAGAGATGCCAGATGGCAACGAAACAGCTGTATAACAATGGCAGGGTTGTTATTTAGGTGGAAAATAAAGAGTTGAAAAAAAAAGCGCGGGTAATTGTAGAAAATTTGTAAAAAATAATAAAAATATGTTTAAATTACATAGTTTACCAAATACCGAGCTGTCCGATTATTGTTTAAATATCTTGGAAAAACATGGCATTATATGGGTGCGTGAATTTATACACGAAAAACCTGAAAAACTTATGAAAATATTAAATTTAAATCTGGAGCAAGTGTTAAAGATAAAAAAAGAATTTCGTGGCCTCTATGGTCCTAAACGAATTATCGTTGAAGGTCCAGAAGAAGAAGATGAAGACCACGAATTACGTATCTGTGACCCTAAGAAGAAAGTCTATGGCTCACATATTAATGCTTTGGACAATATGCTGGCTCCCAGTCTACTACTTAATAATTGTTCATTTGGGAAATCTGTGGTCCTACTGGTGTGGGCAAAACTCAATTGGCTTTAACTTTAGTATTAAATTTTGTCATAAATCAGGTGGCTCCTGCTTTGTATATAGACACCAAATTGGATTTTTCCGCCAGTCGTATAAAAGACATGCTTAAGGCTCGAGAAATCGACCAGAACTCTATGCCGGCATTATGTCTTACATCAAAGTGGAACGTGTGCTATCCGCCCAAGGTGTTGTCGAAATGCTGGAAGAATTGCATAAACAATTAGAACAAGGAAATTCAGATGTAAGCGCTATTAAGCTGATAGTAATAGATTCTTTGCCGGCTGTTTGGTTTCTTCTCAAAGCCGAAAGCAATCGTTTAGCGGGCAAATGGCTGTTATCCCGGCTAAGTCAAAATATTAATCGTTTAGTGCGTCATCATTACATTAGCGTAATCTGTATAAATCTATCACTACTGCCCTCGTCCCCAAATGAAACAAAACCCACTAGTATGTTCTACTTGTTGTAATATTTATTTCATTTATTTTCATATTCTTACTTATTTTCTAGCTTCTCTCGCTGCTGCTCTCAATGATCACGATATATCCGATATTATCGCTGCCGATGATATGGAGTTGGTTAATGACAAAACATCTTCGCTGTCTTCATCTGAATATCGTCCAGTTTTGGGCCTTTGTTGGTTAACTAAACCTCATTTACGTTTATCACTTGAATTTCCCCCTTCCGACGATGTTAGTTATAAACTAGATCCCTCTTTGCGTATAATTAAGTTAATAAAATCTACTTGGTCCCCCAGTGATCTCAGCTGTTCAGTGAGTTTACAGCCGGAGGGTGTTATCTGAAAAGTGTTATGTTGATTTTTGGTTTGTTGATATGTTTTCATAACACGTTTTCCCGGTACAATACTATCACCCAAACCGGGACGTTTGCGATTTTTATTATCACTTGTTATCACTTCCGGCTGGGCGGTGTGCTCTTCATGAGAATAAGTTGAGGCGGCTTTGGCTAAAAATGTCTTTGTGGTGGCAGGTGTTTTAAGCTGTAAGTATAAAGAAAGTATAAATAAAAAACAAATAAAAGTGGGAATTTGATCTACACTTCACCATAAACATTTCACAATTCTGTAAATAGATAGATATATGGATGGGATGGGATGGATCATTGAATTAGTTTTAAAACATTAAGATATTTTAGGTTCATGAAAAACTACTAAATTTTAAGCTCATAGTCATGTCTAAACATAACCATTAAATTTAAATTTCTTTAAATTTTATATGATTTTATATGACTCTTTACTTACACTTTGTTTATTATGTACATCAACTCCCGCATTCGTCTCCACCAAATCCGAATCATGGGCATATTTACATTTATTACCAAATCTACAGCGTCCCTTACGATTATTCCAACATATTTTACGGCCATTTTTCTGTAGCAAGTGATTTTCCGAATCAACCATTTTAACATGTTTCTGTAGTTTATCTATTTCTAATTTTTCCGCCTCCAAAAATGGATTGTTAAAAACATCTCCCGGTGTCTTGGAGGAACTGCTTCCAAGCAATACATTGGCACTAGGCAAGAGTAAGGGTGGTGGTGGCGATGTCTCAGCTGATGTTGTCAAGCTAATTGAGAAATTTTATAAATTAATTAGATTACTTTTAGATTTCTTTCAACTTACCTGTCTTTTTTAGATGTTTTGGTGCTCTCGGCATCTTCGTTTTCTGTTTCATCTTCTTCACTGCTCGATGAAGAAGAGCTGGTATCATAATCTGCTACTAATGATAACATATTTTTGTTTATTTGGAACAATTTTTGTTTATTTACATTCCCAAATATTTTCCTTTGGAATACTGCAGTGGCAGAAAAATGTAAACAGCTGTTTTAAAATAACGATAACAAAATAGTTATCGCCCATCTCTATATTTGTGGTAGCAGAGTTGTAATGCAAAAGTAGTGGGAAAACGGAAGTGGAACATTTGTAATGAATCGTTACCTTAAAAAACATTTTGTTTAACTAGAAAAGGTGTTTACAGTTGTAATTCAGGTCTGAGTTGGGGAACAACTCTCGCGTCATCGTTTTTATTTCTTAAGGACGGTCAGGCTTGTGCTTGTTGCTGGGCTTTCGACAGAATTACTTCTCACCCCGCACTAATTTAATGCACTACTTCGTATAACTGTTCTAAGTTATGCGTTGTCTTCATTAAACGCGTGCTTTCGTTTTACCTCAGAGTGAGGTTATGTATTTAACTGGTGGAGACCATAAAATACTCACGATATAACCTGGTGGAGACCATTTAAACTCAAATATTTACTGGTGGAGACCATTAAAACTCTAAAACTTTTTCTGGTGGAGACCATTAATACTTTTGATGAAATTAAGTCCGGATGCTCCAACTTCTATATGAAGGTATAGGTCGGTTGGTGGGGTTTTCTCTGGACCGCCATCCTAATTAAAACCCGGAAAAAAAAAAAAAGAAAAGGTGTTTAGGTAAATTAATAAAGGTTTTACTTAAACTAATGTATTTTGCAATTTTTGGGAAAATTTATGAAATCGATATGGTATTTCCCAAGCTAATCATTTAATAACTTGAAAACACATTTGGCCAAATGTGAGATAGATAGATAGATAGATAGATAGATAGATAGATAGATAGATAGATATAGATAGATAGATTAGATCGATAGATAGATAGATAGATAGATAGATAGATAGATCGATATAGTCGATAGATAGATCGAATAGACTCGCTCGATCTCTCGCTCGCTCGCTCCTCGATCGATAGCTGCTAGATCCGCCTACGCTCGCTCGCTCGATCTCTCGCTCGCTAGATCGCTAGCTCGCTCGCTCTCGATCGCTCGATCTCTCTCGCTAGCTCGCTGCTCGCTCGATCGCTCGCTCTTGCTTTCTTGCTTGCTTGCTTGCTTGCTTGCTTGCTTGCTTGCTTGCTTGCTCGCTCGCTCGCTAGCTCGCTCGCTCGCTCGCTCTCTCGCTCGCTCGCTCGCTCGCTCGCTCGCTCGCTCGCTCGCTCGCTCGCTCGCTCGCTCGCTCGCTCGCTCGCTCGCTCTCTCTCGCGCTCGCCTGCTGCTCGCTCGCTCGCTCGCTCGCTCGCTCGCTCGCTGCTCGCTCGCTCGCTCGCTCGCTCGCTCTATCGCTGCTCGCTCGCTCGCTCGCTCGCTCGCTCGCTCGCTCTCGCTCGCTCGCTCGCTCGCTCGCTCGCTCGCTCGCTGCCTCGCTCGCTCGCTCGCTCGCTCGCTCGCTCGCTCGCTCGCTCTCTCGCTCCTCTCGCTCGCTCGCTCGGTCGCTGCTCGCTCGCTCGCTCCTCGCTCGCTCGCTCGCTCGCTCGCTCTCTCGCTCGCTCGCTCGCTCGCTCGCTCTCTCGCTCGCTCGCTCGCTCGGTGCTCGCTCGCTTGCTCGCTCGCTCGCTCGCTCGCTCGCTCGCTCGCTCGCTCGCTCGCTCGCTCGCTCGCTCGCTGCTCGCTCGCTCGCTCGCTCTCGCTCGCTCGCTCGCTCGCTCGCTCGCTCCTCGCTCGCTCGCTCCTCGCTCGCTCGCTCGGTCGGTCGCTCGCTCGCTCGCTCGCTCGGTCGCTCGCTCGCTCGCTCGCTCGCTCGCTCGCTCGCTCGCTCGCTCGCTCGCTCGCTCGCTCGCTCGCTCGCTCGCTCGCTCGCATCCTCGCTGCGCTCGCTCGCTCGCTCGCTCGCTCGCTCGCTCGCTCGCTCGCTCGCTCGCTCGCTCGCTCGCTCGCTCGCTCTCTCGCTCGGTCGCTCGCTCGCTCGCTCGCTCGCTCGCTCGCTCGCTCGCTCGCTCGCTCGCTCGCTCGCTCCTCGCTCGCTCGCTCGCTCGCTCGCTCGCTCGCTCGCTCGGTCGCTCGCTCGCTCGCTCGCTCGCGCTCGCTCGCTCGCTCTCGCTCGCTCGTCTCCTCGCTCGCTCTCGCTCGCTCGCGCTCGCTCGCTCGCTCTCGCTCGCTCGCTCGCTCGCTCGCTCGCTCGCTCGCTCGCTCGCTCGCTCGCTCGCTCGCTCGCTCTGCTCGCTCGCTCGGCTCCTCGCTCGCTCGCTCGCTCGCTCGCTCGCTCGCTCGCTCGCTCGATCGCTCGCTCGCTCGCTCGCTCTCGCTCGCTCGCTCGCTCGCTCGCTCGCTCGCTCGCTCGCTCGCTCGCTCTGCTCGCTCGCTCGCTCGCTCGCTCGCATCGCTCGCTCGCCTCGCTCGCTCGCTCGCTCGTCGCTCGCTCGCTCGCTCGCTCGCTACGCTCGCTCGCTCGCTCGCTCGCTGCTGCGCTCGCTCCTCGCTCGCTCGCTCCTCGCTCCTCGCTCGCTCGCTCTCTCGCTCGCTCGCTCGCTCGCTCGGTCAGCTCGCTCGCGCTCGCTCGCTCGCTGATCGCTCGCTCGCTCGCTCGCTCGCTCGCTCCTCGCTGCTGCTCGCTCGCTCCTACGCTCGCTCGCTCGCTCGCTAGCTCGCTCGCTCGCTCGCCTCGCTCTCTCGCTGCTCGCTCTCGCTCGCTCATCGCTCGCTCGCTCGGTCGCTCGCTCGACTCGCTCGCTCGCTCGCTCGCTCGCTCGCATCGCTCGCTCGCTCGCTCGCTCGCTCGCTCGCTCGCTCGCTCGCTCGCTCGCTCGCTCCTCGCTCGCTCGCTCCTCGCTCGATCTCTCCTCGCCTCGTCAGCTCGCTCGCTCGCTCGCTCGCTCGCTCGCTCGCTAGCTCGCTCGCTCGCTCGCTCGCTCCTCGCTCGCTCGCTCGCTCGCTCGCTCGCTCGCTCGCTCGCTCGCTCGCTCGCTCGCTCGCTCGCTCGCTCGCTCGCTCGCTCGCTCGCTCGCTCGCTCGCTCTCGCTCGCTCGCTCGCTCGCTCGCTCGCTCGCTCGCTCGCTCGCTCCCTCTCGCTCCTCGCCGCTCGCTCGCTCGCTCGCTCTCGCTCGCTCGCTCGCTCGGTCGTCGCTCGCTCGCTCGCTCGCTCTCGCTCGCTGCTCGCTCGCTCGCTCCTGCTCCTCGCTCGCTCGCTCGCTCGCTCGCTCGCTCGCTCGCTAGTCGCTCGCTCGCTCGCTCGCTCTCTCGCTCGCCTCGCTCTCTCGCTCGCTCGCTCGCTCCTCGCTCGGTAGGTCGGTCGCTCGCTCGCTCGCTCGCTCGCTCGCTGCTCGCTCGTCGCTCGCTCCTCGCTGCTCGCTCGCTCGCTCGCTCGGCTCGCTC